AAAGGATCAGACCATGTGACATACTAAAATTGATAAATTCCTTGAAATTGAGAAAGGCCTGTGAAATTGACGGCATCCCAAATGAATGCCTGAGGCAACTTCAAAGGCAACCAATGGTTCACTAACTCATTTATTTAATCACTGTCTTTGGCTCTCTCATTTTCCAAATAATTGGAAGGAAGCAAAAGTAATAACTTTACCTAAACCCACTATAGACCCGAAGTTCCTGAAAAATTTATGTCCGATCAGCCTCCTGTCCACAACAGGAAAACTATTCGAAAAAGTAATTTTGAAATTAATACAAAAACATATTGAAGAAAGAGGCCTATTCAACGCAAGTCAGTTTGGTTTTCGTGCACGTCACAGCATGACATTGCAATGTATGAGGCTGGCGGACAACGTGACCCTTAATTTCAACAATGAAATGTCTAAGGCTGCAGTGTTCTTGGACATCGAACAGGCCTTTGATACCACGTGGCATCCAGGCTTGCTGTTTGAATTATCAAAATTGGAATTCCCCAACTCTTTGACCAAGCTTATTGGGTCCTTTCTCTCTAAACGTAAANTGGGTTTCGGCTGAAGGCAAAATGTCAACCCTAAGGGAAATGCAAGCAGGGGTGCCACAATGTTCAGTCCTTTCTCCTACTCTTTTCAATTTGTAAATAAATGATGCCCCCCAAACACATGGTGTTCACCTGGCCATCTTTGTGCACGACACCTGTCTGTATGCAACAGATAGCAAGGAGGGTTTTATTGTTAGAAAGCTCCAGCGCAGTCTCAGCTCAATGGAGACCTGATGTGAGCGCTGGAATATTAAAATTAATGAAGATAAGACTCAGGGGGTCTACTTCTCTCGTAGTCGTCGACCGCCTGAGTCTTGTCTCACTCTAAAGGGACGAAATATTCCATTCGTAAATAGTGCAAAATATCTAGGTGTAATCTTCGATAAGAGAGTGACATGGAGATTACACATAGAAATGATCGAAGCCAAGGCCTTCAGAACATTCATTAGAGTATATTCCTTATTCAAAAGTGAGCGATTGAGTGCTAACATTAAACTGATCCTCCACAAAGCTCTTATTAGATCCATAATGACTTATGCTAGTCCCGCCTGAGAATTCGCGGCAGACACTCATCTAGGGAAATTGCAGCGCCTGCAAAACAAGGTTCTCTGCACCAGTGGCAATTTTCCAAGGCTCACACCAGTCCGTGATTTGCACATGGCATTCAAAATCCTGTATGTATATGAGTATATAAGAGAACTATGCAGGAAACAAGCAGAAGTCATACAAAATCATGAAAATGAGAATGTTCGCAACATCGGACAAGGCAAAGCACGACACAGAAAATATAAGAGGCTTAAACTTGGCGGCGGTCAGGCGTACGACCGTTCAAGTGACTAGACTGCCGTGGTAGTGAATACTACTAGAAATAGGGCATAATCTGCTGTACTGAGCCTGGATTGACAGAGGCCTTTAATATATTGTACATAGAAATAGGAATTAAGATTAAATTTGTAAATATATGCAAATACTGACAATGGACTTACTGATACAGACAATGACTGACAAATGACAGACCCGACCTCTCGTCAGATAGGGCACCCCAAATGGACAGGACAGTAACTTTCATATAAGGGAGAAGAAGAAGAAGTGGCCATGAGCCCCATCCGGGGCTCGACTCCAAGACAGACAGATTGACTGACCGTCAGTTGCAATGTGACTTGGACTTGGACTAAGAAGTAAATTAGTTTTCAGTCAGTGTTTGGTGTAAGACAGCCACGGGAGGAACAAGACCTGAACCATGTGATTTTAGGTTTTATGAGTGTAATAGTCACAGTCAGTGATAGTGATTGATAGCTGAGAAGTCAGCCAGTAAAGACTTATTGTGTGACTTCAAGACCTTTTGTGTGCTAGAGTGCAGTGAGATTAGGAGTGTGTAATTCAGTGAGACTTGTATAGCTTCCATGTTATAAATACATTAACCTCTAATGTACAGACTTTTAAACTGAAAGCAGCCTGAATTTAAATAACCCTAATTAATTGTCATTGCAAACTTTCAGAAAAAAATGCATATTTTCCATTTTATGCAACATAGAAATATGAACTAAAAAGAATCTGAAAGACAATAAAATTTTCTACATATGCATAAAAGAGCAAGTTTTACAAATGAAAATTAACTGTGATTATTCTGTCATGAAATGCAAAATATAATCTTTATTATATATGTTATGAAATTCCAAAGGACTTACCCACTGATTTTCTTCAACCTTGAATCATGGTGATATTGTAAATATAATCACACTATATACAATAATATTTTGTTCAGACTGTACGCGAGTTTGAACTGTGTCACTTCACAGTTTACGATAATTCACACTCCGACGCGCGTCTCTTCTCGAAGCAGTCCACCACACATAGTGCAACATCACACTTTTTACAGTAGTAGAGCGTGCTTCTGTGCTTCTTATTCTGAGAACAAATACGATGTCTTTGTTTTACTTTGGTTGGCAAGTGTTGTGAATTTTTCACCTCCAGTCGACGCAGTTGGGCCCCAGATGAACTTGGCCTCCCCCGAGAAACGCCACTGACCGTGATATTTGCCTCATGCAACTGAAGAATCAAATCCCGCACCAATATTTCGCGGAACTTTTTGTGTGTCATTTTTCCACCACATGACTTGTGTAATAGATATGCATTTAGAATAGTCATATCTTGAAGGTGGAATAACAATTTCTTTGTCCACTTCCATGTCTTCCTAGCAATGCCATAACTGTTTACCATCCTGTCAGATTTATCAACAAAGCCCATGTGTGCACTGTAGTCTTCAATTACATGGGGTTTGACAGCATGGCCAGATTCATCTCAGAAGTTGCCTTCCAATGGAGGGGGGTGCAAATTCATCAGAACATACACATCACGCTTGTCTTTCCAATGAGCAACACTCAGATGCCCTTTGACTCTTGTAACAACATCCCATTTTTTTTTTCAATTTCATTGACTTGGGCCGAATATCTTGTGACATTCCACGCCTATCATTGTGAACGGTGCCACATGAATTTATTTTCCTGTCTAAAAGATCGTAAAATAAAGCAGGAGAACTGAAATAATTGTCCATGTAAATTTTGTGTCCCAAGCCTTCTACTCTTTGAATTACCTGGAGAACAATGCCATGTGTTGATGTAAATTCTTCTGTCTCAAGTTGCCTTTGTTTGCCCAAATAAACTGTCATGTCATAAGTATACCCAAAAAAATCGCAAAGCTTGTAAATTTTTATACCAAATCTTTTGCGTGTCTTTGGAATATACTGATGAAAAATCACTCTTCCTTTGAAGAACACTATGACTTCATCAACAGCAAGACGTTCTGCTGGATTGTAAAGTTCACAAAATTTGTTATTGAGATTGTCAAAAATTTTTCTAATTTTCCAGAGCCTATCATACTCTGGGTCATATCGATTTGGAGGAGCTTCATTATTTTCAAAATGTAGGAATCTCAAAATATGGAAGAAACGGTCTTGTACCATGGTGTTACGGTAGAATGGAGTGTAGTATTGCTCATCTCTTGACCAATAATCTTTGAGGGTGTCCCATTGATTGTGGCCCATTTGAATAATTATTGCCAAAAAGTTATATATCTCTTCAATTGTAACGTCAGGCGGTTGAACAGAAAGGCCTGCAGCATCTTGGCATGCCAAAAATTGGTGGAAATATCTGTTGGTTTCTTGTAACAAGATGTGGAATATTTGTTGGAAAAACAGAATAAAAATGGAAAAAGGAGAGGACTGTGCATTTATATTGGGAGCAGCTGATCTGTTGATTCCACTCAGAGGACCAGTGAAGTCTAGAACCTTTGGCGAATCCCCGGGTCTTCTATCACGAAACCTAATTTCCGGTTCCTCTGCCTCGTTGTCTGATGATGACGACGACAACATATTTGCCCAAGGTTGAATGAACTCACTGATATCTTCTAACTCTTCATCAGATTCCTCTTCCATCAATATGTCCTCCAGTTCTTCGGCATCGAGAAGTTTGGAATATTGGGCACGTTTTTGAGGTTCCATCTTGGGAGGGGGGGGGTTCCAGCAAAATCGAATAAATTATGTTGATTGACAAAGACTCGCAGAATAGTGATGCAAAGTAACTGTAATAGTATGGTACAATAGGCCAGAAGTGGCAGCAGTACAAGGGACTTAGTCCCACCCCACTAGCAATAAAAAATAATAATTGTAATAGTAGTCGAAAAGGTGCCAGTTCGACTCTGATACGGGAAGTCACAGTGATGAAGATGCCTTTTACTCACAAAGTAATACTGGTTCAGTGGGTTTATACCTCTTCCAAGACACAAAATAATATAAGAACAAATATATGACAGTCTGACACTAACTTTTTAAGTGAAAAAGAAATATTACACAATCCAACACTGACTTCCTAGCTGATAACTCGGCACTGAAAACCAATCCTTGAATACCTCACAATTCCTTGAAAGCTCTGAAGCACTGATCTGCAAGCACCGACGAATATTACCTCTTCAGTTCTCAGAACAAAGCTGGGCTATATTTGGCTGACCAGGTCATAAACAGAAATATATAAACATAAATAGTTAAGAAACCAGGACCGAGATAAACGATTTCTTTGTTCAGAGCTAAGGAATGAACCACTGACATGACCTCGCCTAGGTCTGTTTTGGTTTCAAACCCAAGGTCAAACTGTCAGCACTCCCAAAGAGTGCACGTGTCCTGCGTCACATATATCTGCCATTCGGCTAACTCTGGTTGCTGCTTGCGTCATATATATATGTGTCATTCGGACGTTAAAGGTTTAAACTACCACAGATTGACTGAGAAGATTAGAGTGTAGTGAGTGTAAATGGTGTAAATCTGCAATAGTTTAACAATTAAGTGGAGTTACGATTAGTGAAGATCTAATAAATCCAATTACCAATCCGAACCCCATCTCCAATCACCCAAAAATGTTACAATAGCTACTAACATTCACTAACCTCTGACTTTGTGTCAAGAGAAGGCTGGTCTCTGTTCAGGCACATGTGTGCTACCTTTATCACGTGTTCCAATTTCCTTGGCTGCTCTTCCACTTTGGCAGCTAAGAAGAGAGCTGCTGCTGCCATCGCATTGCGATGAAACTGGGTGAATGAGTGGAACACGTAGAATCGATGCATGTACACAATTGCTGTATTGATACATAGTTGTGTACTGAACAACAAGTTAAGGAAAAACAATGCAACTGAATCCCACAACACAAGTGATTAATTCACACATTCTATCACACTAGCAACAAAAAGAAACATACAAAACTCAAATTCAAGTACATCTCACCAACAATACATCCTCATATAAAAAACATAAAGGTAAGCTATCACTGTAGCAGGCCATGAAGGCCCATAGGGTTATGAGATATCTAGGCACCTAAATTTTCTCTAGAGAATTGGCTCACAGATGATGGTAAGGTTGTCAGCCTTATGCGCCCACCACCCTTTACCCCTAGGAAAATTCCTGGTACTCATTTCTCTTAGAGGCTGGGTCAACCCCAGGGCCACAATGTGGCTGACAGACACCAAATGCAAATCTCAGTCTTTTCACATAATACACCACTCAGAACTGTACTGCATAAAAACTTATTACATGTAAAAGTTTCAGAGATAAAAAAATAGAGGTTGTAATTGACCGGAATGACATTCCATACATCCTGTCACATAAGAGCAGACTCATTACACTGATACACAGATCTGGTTCATGACACTACCAAAATGATAAAAAAATCATTACCATATCAGTCTATATTAAAATACAAAGAATATGTGCTTTGGTACAATGCTCTCAATGTGAATAAGGTTTTAAAATTCTACCTGTCTCCCTTTTATTTCTAACAAAGAATATCTTGTCATCAGTAAGCTCTCCATGTTAAATTTCATGCTGCAGAACAAATAACAGGAAAAAAGTCTGTTATACTAAGAAGAGTTAACCAAAGCAACAAACACACTGTTCTGTATTCCGTGTGAAGTTATTATAGGTGCACTTTTATGGGAATTTCTTCACTGCAATCAGTGAATGGTATTATTTAGGGATAAAAATATTGTGACATGTCTAACTGTTGCTGGGCAACGGGAGGTAGAACGAGTTACCACGAAGACAGACCCTTGATAAACGGTCGGTTGCCAAGTTACGCAACAGTAAGGAAAGTGGTGTTTGGCCGTGCTGAGCCAAAGAGCACTGGTTGCTATGCAGCATTGCCCAGCAACGCCTTTGTAAAAACAGCGTCATGCAACATGGGACCCTGTGCGGCAACTGTTGCTAGGCAATCGGTAAACACGACGTCATGCAACAGTGAAAGCTAACATGTAACTGTTTTCTGTGTTGTCAGTGCGAAGCTACATAAGAGGAGTATTCGTCAGTGAGAGGGAGGAACCAGTCAGTTGCAGTCTAACATTCACCGGAGTGAATGGAAGCAGGAGAAGTAAGTGTGATACTGCAGATGGCAGTAGTTGTGAAACTGTAAATAGTGTAAGGGCGAATGTGCACTACATTTGCTAGATCCAGAACGGTGTGAAGTTATTTGTCGCGCGTTATACACCCAACACGTGACAATTTGGTGTCAGTAGTGTCTACAAACTTAAACATGCCTCAATCTAGAAAGAATTATTAAATTAAGTACATCGAGAGTTATCCCGCCAAAAAAAAAAAAAAAAAAAAAAAGGAAGCGCGAGAGAAGCAAGATATGCAGTGAATAATTGAAATGCTGGCAAAGGCAGAGGCCGATAAGAAGGCCGACAAGGAAGAAAGGAAGGTCGAAAAGGAAGAAATGGAGGCAAATAGGAGGAAAGACAGAGACGAAATTAGACCCAACCTAGCTAAGACAGAGGCCGGCCATAAAGAGATGCTGTCCTGATTGGAGGCTGACAGACAGGCTGAGCAAAGAGAACTGAAAGAAATGATGGATACCAACCACAACGAGATGGTGGCCGAAATCAAACCCGAAATGGACACAGACACGATGGCCTGCCAAGAGATGGAGGCATGTCTAGTAGAAGAAGAGCCAACCTCAGTGGACAGGAATCCTGAGGTGGCTCAACAATGAGAAGTCCCCATAAAGCATGCTGAAGTAATGCTGGTTGGAGAACCGAAGAAGGAAAGGCGTAGGGACCGAAACCAGTGGAAAATGAAGAAACGGACCCAGGAAAAGGATGGGTGCCAAAGAAGACTAGCCGTCGCTCGCAGAGGGACAAGCTGCCATGTGGAAGTGGCACTGCAGAAGAAAACCAGCAGGAAGGTGTCCCGCCGTGCAACAGTGGCATGGCGTAAGAGGAACACCTTCAGGAAATCTACGACCCAAGGAAAGTGTGGACAGCAGCACGAATTGGCTGCCGACAGAAATATGACTAGCCATGCAGGTGTGACACAGTGCAAGGGAGATTTCATAAAGAAATATTCAACCAGGGTCAATGCTGAACAAGAAACCTGGAAAGGAAGAACGGGAATAAAGAACATAGGCAGCCAGAAGAAAAAGGTGCCAACCAAGGACGCCATCGAAGGGTGTAGATCAGGACAGCGATCACACCTAGGACGGACAAGCACTCATAAGAAGACCTTCTACGAGATTGTCAGCATGAAGATCGTTAAGCAAATAGTTGGATCTTCTGTCAGTCTAAGCAAGGACCGGACCTTGTGGAGGGGTTGCCCCCTCCGAAATGGAAAAAATGGAATAGAGCATGGTGGAGGAACCAGTAACACAGAAGCACCGGCCTCCCCAGCTAGAACGAGTGAATGAGCGATGAATGAATGTGAGGGACGAATGTGAAACAACTGGATCTCCTGACAAGTTAACAGGAAACTGTGTAAGATTTGAGGCTTTCACAGCGGTGACTATGAAGAAAGCAGTCTTCTGGGATTTGGCACCGTGTATATGTGGTGTTAACCGACGTTTCGGAGGAACGTATCGCCTCCATCTTCAGGGTAGAAGAAAAAATATAAGAAATCTGCAAGCGAAGGCAATTGAGATTGAACTGCAGCCAGAAAATATGAACAGAGAGGGGGGGTTTTGTCTCAGCAAGTCTTGGAAA